CACACACACACACACACACACACACACACACACACACACGAAAGAAAGTTGATTTATCTTTTCTCTTAGATGATGACCCCAAAAACAATTTAACTGTGGGTGTGTGTGTGTGTGTGTGTGTGTGTGTGTGTGTGTTCAGGTGTACCATGCTCTGACATGACGTATGTTTGTGGTGATGGAACGTGTCTGAAGAAGCCGAACCCAGAGTGTGACTTCATCACCGACTGTCCTGATGAATCTGACGAGAAACACTGCGGTAGGTGTGTGTGTGTGTGTGTGTGTGTTAATCTGTGATGACTCTCTGTCTCTCCCTCCAGACTGCGGCCTGAGGCCCTTCAGCAGCCGTATAGTGGGCGGGGCTGATGCAGTGGAGGGGGAGTGGCCATGGCAGGCCAGCCTGCAGATCAGGGGGCGGCACATATGTGGAGGGGCGTTAGTCTCCGCCCAGTGGGTGGTGTCTGCAGCTCACTGTTTCCATGATGACAGGTGAGCGACGCGTCTTTGTGTGTGTGTGTGTGTGTGTGTGTGTGTACATGCCTCTTCATCTGTAGTGTATGCAGGTTTTTCTTTCTGTCAGTCTGAAGGGTGTATCTGCATGACTGTGTGTGTGTGTGTTTGTGTGTGTGTGTGTGTGTGTGCAGGTATTCCCCATCAGTGTGGACAGTGTATCTGGGTAAGCTGCGTCTGTCCAGCAGTGGTCAGTCAGAGGAGGCGGTGGGCGTCTCGCTCATTCACCTGCATCACTACTATGATGACGAGACTCATGATTACGACGTGGCGCTGCTGGCGGCTGGCGCGGCCGGTGTGGGCGGGTACGCTGGCACAGCCTGTGTGTGTGCCGCCCGTCACGCATCAGCTGGAGCCGGAGCTGCTGTGCTGGGTCACGGGATGGGGAGCGCTCAGAGAGGGAGGTAAGACATGCGGGTTCATTCAGACTTCTGCTGGAGCCTTCATATCGCCTCCATATAGTTCCTCTGATAGAATCAGCGGTAGCTGCGGGCTTTAAAGGGGAATAATTTGCCCATTTTTACAAGATGTGAAAAGTATCTGAGGTCCCTAGAGTGTAGTGAAGATTCAGCTCAGAATACCACACTAATGAGTGCTGGTCAGGTGTGTGTGTGCTTCAGTGTGAGTGTGTGTTGATGCTCTATGTCGCTCCTGCTTCATCTAAAACTCCACATCTATAATCCTCTGAGTCTATGCTGACATCATCTTCAGCAGCTCAAACACTCTAATGGCTAATAGACAGACGGCTGCTTCTCACTCAGGGCTGCTGCTTATGCTAATGAGGGAGAGATGGGCACCAGTGGGCGGTGCTTTCCCCCTCTGATGACACGTACACAGGGGGAATGTCAGTCACAGTGTTTCTGCAGACTGTTTTCATCAAGTCTGTTGATAACAAACACAATAGCTTCATGTTGAGCATTATAGGCTGGAGATATTCACACACTGCACACACACACAGCTGGGTTTATACCCCTTATGAAGGTATATTTTTCACAATAGGTAATACAGCTGTCCATTATGCAAATCTTATGTATGTATTTCTAGACCAGAGATGCCCAAACTAGGGCCTGCGGGCCAAAGTTGGCCCATGGTAACCTTTAATTTGGCCACCGACCAATCAGAGAAGAGATGGACCAATGATGGGAAAAATTGGGGCGAATCCCTTAAACAGAGATCGTCATTTCTAATTTTATATAGCCTTTTCTTTGTTTGTTTAATTGCTGAGCTACAAAAAAGCAAAACTGATTTATATGTGAATTATATGTGAATTAATCAGATTTTAAAGGGTCATGAAAACCCTAAGACACTTTGTTTTTAGATGTTGACAGATGTTGGTCAGAAGTATTCGCCCCCTTTGAATTTTTTCTTTTTTAAATATTTCCCAAATGATGTTGAACAGATTGAGGAAATGTTCACAGTATGTCTGAGAATATTTGTTCTTCTGGAGAAAGTCTTATTTGTTTTATTTCGGCTAGAATAAAAACAGTTTTTAATTTTTTAAACACCATTTTAAGGTCACTATTATTAGCCCTTTTAAGCTGTATATTTTCTGATAGTCTACAGAACAAACCATCATTATACAATAACTTGCCTAATTACCCTAACCTGCCTAGTTACCCTAATTACCCTAGTGAAGCCTTTAAATAACACTAAAAGCTGAGTAGAAGTGTCCTGAAGAATATCTAGTCTAATATTATGTGCTGTCATCATGACAAAGAGAAAATAAATCAGTTATTAGAATTGGTTTTATTGTAAGAAAATGTAATATACAATTATATATATATATATATATATACAATTAAAGTATTTTTTCTATGTATTTTTAATATTATTAAATTAGGAAGTTACCATGTTACAATGTAATAGAGTTTGGTATATTGAGCTCCAGCCCACAACCCTCTATCAAGTTTGGATTTTAGCCCTTCATAAAAAGGTTTGGGCGCTCCTGCTCTAGACAAATACAACATTAAACCCAAAATAAACATATAAATACTCACAGTGTGTGGTTTTTCTCCTCTCCATCAGGGGCAGTGAGTGACGTCCTGCAGAAGGTGGATGTTCGTCTGGTCAGTGAAGACGCCTGTGTTCGCTCGTATGGATACCTGATCTCTCCTCGGATGATCTGCGCTGGATACCGCAGCGGAGGGAAAGATGCCTGTCAGGTGACTAACGATGGACCCCACTGCAGACGAGTAACAATTAACTAAAATAGGGACTGATCTTCATCTCAAAGTGTAAAAATAAGGTTTCTGCAAGGAGCAGGTTTTGGGTTGAGAGACAGAAAATATAATTTCCCACATGAAAAAATATACTGCAGTGCTTATGAACCACACTACTGTAAAATACCTGACTTAATCTGCTGTGGTGATTCTACAGTTGCTATGGTAACACAACAACTATAGTAATTGATCTGTTGTAGTGATTCTAGAGTTGCTATGGTAACATAAAATTAATAGTAACTGGTCTGTTTAGGTGATTCCACAGTTGCTATGGTAACAAAACAACTATAGTAATTGATCTGCTGCAATGATTCTATAGTTGCTATGGTAACTAAATATCTCTTCAACGATATCACTAATGACTAATAAATAATAAAAATAAATTACTAAAATAAACTGATGACCCAATAGTGTAGTTTTCTACAACTAAAGGGCAGTTTGTACTACAACACACCACTTGAGTTTACTGTAGTCAAAACTAAAGTGCACTACAGTATTAATCATTTCAGTGCAGTTAATAATACAGTATGCCGGACTACTCATTACCAAACAGTGGTAACTATAACTATAAATATAGTGTAACACACTTTTCTGAAGCGTTTACTATAAATCACTGTTCTATTTTTAATCTGGGCTGGTCAGTATAAAAAAGGGAAGTCACATGACAAGCCACAAAAATCACAGAAACCTAATGTGTGTGTGTGTGTGTGTGTGTGTGTGTGTGTGTGTGTGTCAGGGTGACTCTGGCGGGCCGCTGGTGTGTCAGGAGCCGTCTGGCCGCTGGTTTCTGGCCGGTGTGGTCAGCTGGGGTCGTGGCTGTGGACGGGCGGATTATTACGGCGTTTACACCCGGATCACTAAACTCAGCGTGTGGATCAAACGCATGATCTCCTCCTGAGAGGCTCCAACACACCACTCTGTGTGCCAGACTCAACGCAGCAGGGTTGCCAAGTTTTCACAACAAGAGACCAACAGCCAATCAAAAGTAGCCCAAAAACAAGCCCAATCCCTAAACAAAAACTGTGGCATTCCCCAATGGACAAAACACATGAGTGAACGCGCTGTACAGGGCTTTTCTATGACTTTACTTAGAGGTGGAGTTGGAGAGCAGGAGGCGAGGGGGGGGCATGATTAAACCCACAGATGACAAAACAACCAGTATACACAGATTAAAACTAGCCCAATTCTACAGGAAAACCACAGCCTTGGCAACACTGCATGGCAGATGAAGATGGAGCTCATGTGACCATGCGCATATGAATATTGATGAGCACACACTGTTCATCTGCACAACTGATTTTGAATAGCTGATAATGCTGGCGGTGCTGTGAGCTCTGGTTATTCAAGCTTTTCTCAAACTAACTGTTCACATTGAGTCAACAGTGTGTGCTGAAAAACTTCATTACCCACGATGCTGTGTAACTGATTCCTCCAATCAGAGATTTGCAGTGATCGACGCATTCTGAAAGAGGTCTTAGCTCCGCCCACTCTCATATTGCATAATTAATGATGTAATGGAGTCTATCAATGCTTTTAAAGTACTGAAAGAATTGTGTATGTTCATTCATTCATTTCAGATTAGTCCCTTTATTAAACAA